CCAGCCATAATTTCCCCCATGTTCAATTATTTCCCCCTTTAGCCGAAAGCTGACATTTCCCCTTCCTGGCATACATAAAGTTAATTGGGGGCCTATCACCTTGCCCTATTGGGAAGTTGGCTGTGGAGATTTTCATCAGAACCAAACAAACTCTGGAGGAAGGTGATTGAGGAGAAATATGGCTTAAGGAATAATGGATGGGATGCTGGTATTCCCTCTGGCACCTATGGTTGTGRGGTGTGGAAAGGAATTTGTAAGGCTTACAGGCAGTTCAGCAGTGGTGTTAAATTTAAAATGGGATATGGAAGAAAAACCAGGTTCTGGTTAGACCAATGGGCTAGTGGCAACACCCTAAAAGAGCTGTTCCCGGCCCTGTACAATGTGGCTGTAGATAAGGAAGCCTTAGTGGCCGATTCTCTGTGTCTCCAAGAAGGCAGGCTATGTTGGGTTCCTCTCTTTAGGAAAGTTTCAACGACTGGAAAATTCAGCAGATGGCAGATTTTCTTAATCTGTTACAAGACCAACAGCTAAGTTTTTAGGAGCAAGATTCAACAGTCTGGAAATGGTCAAAATCTGGAGAATTCACAGTCAAATACTTCTACAACTTTCTGGTGGGAAGGCCTGAAGTCTCCTTTCACAACAAGGCCACTTGGGGGAACTTGGCTCCTCCAAAAATCAAGTTTTTYGTTTGGGTGGCAACGCTGGAGAGGTGTCTGTCCAAAGAAATGCTGCTGAATATTGGAGGTTCTGTTTTTGCAATATGCAAATGGAATCCTCTGGGCATCTCTTCCTTAATTGCAAGTTTAGTTCTGCAGTATGGTCACACTTCTGCAAATCCCTGAATCTAAGCTGGTGCATGCCAGCCTCAGTTAGAGCTCTGCTAGAGAAGTGGCATATTCAGGGGCTGTCGAAGAAAGGAAAGTTGCTTCCATCCCTCCGGCAGTTATGTGGGCTGTGTGGTCAGAAAGGAACAAGATTTTTGAGGAAAAATTTACTACTGAAGCTAAGGTCATTAACTTGGCAATAGAGGTTTTGAGAAGTTGGATGTCTATACATAATGATTTTAGAGATAGTATATTTGATCATACTTTTTTGAGGATGGCCTTTTTTTGAGGTTCTTCATTTTGTACAGATTCTCTTTGTACACAGGACCATATATTAATACAATCATACTTTACCTTCTTTCAAAAAAAAAAAAAAAATCAGACTAGCAATTTGTCACTTTTCCTTTACAGTAAATGATAAACTGTATACATAGAAAGTCTCTAGAATGAATTGTAAACACTCATTTGATACCATTAACTATTTTGCTTTTTGGAACATCAAAAGGTGGAAATCCCAATTTTAACCAATAATTTATCTTTTGCGTTCTCAGAACAGACTGGTATAAACAAGTTTTTACATGACCTTGCATTTTTAAGGGACTAGTCAACCAGAGCCCATAGTTCAAAAGAAGCCATCATTAAAGAAATTATTACTGAAGCAATATTTAGCAATTATATATAATATATTAAGATCATAAATTCAAGAAATCTTKATCACAAGAACTGACCTGTTTTCCTATTTCATCCATGATAATCATTCTTGGAAGTGATTGGACCTATTCCAAAGATTTCATCATAACAGTTGACCAATTTACGAAATGGGAAAATAAGATTTTGATTTCTGCAAAGTAGACCAGCTTTGAAGAGCATACCAATCTAGAAAGAGAACCAAGGGTTGTTGCACATGAAAGAAGATTAAAACATGTGTGATGCCGTGACAACACATCCAATTCCCTACAAAGGATAAAGCATTAAAAATATAGAAATCCCATGTTGTATCTGCCAAACTACCAACTGGTAGATGGAATTACTACAGAATTATGGTACAATAAAAAGAAATTCAATGTGTAACCAAGGTTCAAAGTATCGGAAATGCAAAGTGTATTGGACGAAAAACCAAGATACACATGGATATGCTATGAAACTCAAATAAATCCTAAAAAATATATTAATAACAACAAGCACAAGGTATATATGATCATAAATAAGTTATTTACACATAAAAACCTTGCTTTAATGGTTTATATTAAGTGTGAGAGATTGGGATGCAATCGGTAACTGTTGAAAATGGCAAAATTAAACTAAAATGTGTACATATATGCCTTGATTTTCAGAAAATCAATATAATTTTTCTTAAAATTTGTTAACACATAAATTGTAATAATCAATTTTAGAATTTATTGTCAAACATCTAGGGGTGATGATCATTTGGAAATTCTAGGTTTGGGCCTTGGGTTTTGTGTTCAGGCTTAGCCCAACCTATATATTTAAATATCTGTATTTTATATATAAATATTATAATATTTATATATTATACTATGACACGTATAATATATATTATATAATGTATCAAAAAAATTTATATGCATATTATATACCATTTAATATAAAATATTATATATGTAATATTTTATATAGAAAAGACTTACACCTGACCCAACCCATAATCACCCCTATAAACATCCACTAAAAAGAAAAAGTTTATTTAAGGATCAAAATGTATAAAATTTAAACAGCAAAATAGATTTGGCATAGTGGTGGACTCATGGTCATTACAAACTAGTGACTAGGGTTCAAACCTTCTTACAGCCTACTTTAGTTTTTACACCCAAAATTATGTGCATCAAGTGTTAGATGGCATGCCGAGAGGAAGTAATTAATGAGAAGGACTAGCAATAATGAGAGAGAGGGAGAGTAATTAATTAGAAGGATTAGCAATAAAAGAAAGATTAATGAGAGAGGTAGATTGGCCCGATACAGATGAAAAGAAACAGAATGACTACTTTCTATACGCAAGGTTCAAAGTATCAATACAATGCGAGTTTCGACTGTATCGTATTGGTACCTAGAAACAGCCGAAACACTTTTTTTTTGTTTTTTTTTTTCAAACTTTGGTTTTTTGGAAAGATTATAGGCTGTTTTTTATTATTAAAAAAATGGGGGTCCGAAACACCTGGAAACAGGCGTTTCAGACCGTATTGTTTGTAAAAGATACGATACGATACGCCCRATACGGGGCGTATCGTACGATACTTTGAACCATGTCTATACGTTCTGTGTATCGGGCCTTTATTGGAACGATACGTATTGGCTGATACAGGCTGTTATGTTGAGAAATTTTGAACCTTGTGTGTGTAACCTATTATTTGTGGACACAGACACAAATCTCTGGTGTCAGTACAGACATGGAGTATCAGAGAGCAACCCCCAAAATGTACACATGGACATGGAATATAGATATAAAGACATTTTGGCATTCAATTTCTTAATTATTGTAATGAGATTGATGAACAGTTAGGAGTTCAACACTTGATAGTTGAAGGAGACTCTAAAATTGTTGTGGGATGGCTGACAGAGCCAGCTTCAGCTATGTGGCGATATAGAGATTTATTGAGGAAAGTCAATTGGCTCACAAGAAATATGACAATTACCTCTCTTTGGGTGGAAAGATCAGCAAATTCCTTAGCGGATGGACTAGCTAAGCAAGGGGTTTCAAGGGATYATTTGTTTTGGGCTGCTATATAATTTTAGTTCTGTTTATTTCTGCTTATCCGGTTCTTAATTGATGTAATACTTKGTTAGAAGAGGTAACAGCTCATGCCTCTTCAAGGGTTTCCTGTATTGCCTTAATTTCTGGATTAATAAATTATTTTCATTCATCAAAAAGATGAGATGAGAAAATACTAAATTCTATTGGAATCTAGAAGCATGTGAGATAATCAGGTAATGCTAAATATTTTTACTAAAAAAATGCAAAAAATGGCTTTTTCACCTCACCATTCTGTAAAGCCACTTTGACTAGCTAAAAAGTTGGAGATGCCTGACCCAGCAACTTTAAGGTTGTCTGAGTTAAGACCGAAAAGTTGCCGAAGTTGTCCAATGAAAACTTCAAAGACCTTCTCAAGATCCTGTTTCAGAAGATGCATGCATCAACTTTTGAGGATATTAACTAGAAGTCATCTATAATAGTGGCACATGAGGTTTTGTCATTTCATGTTCAGAAATAACTAAGATATAATGATAACCAAGAGAAGAAATGAAGAGAGCAGACAGCTTGTTTCAAAGTGGTTTCTTCAGAATTCTCCTACAAAAATAACCGTCCATTGGGCTGGAATTATATGTGCATAAGAGAAGAAAAGAGATAAACTTGAAACATGATCCATGTATCTCCATAATAATAATGCATGTCACATAGTGACAGGCTTTAGTCAAATTTGTGTTACTTAGTTACAAGGACAACTTTCACATTCCATTTTCTTCTTTTACCATATTCCATTCAATTTTAGAAACAGCAAACATTGCAAACACAATCCAGCATATTCAGTTCATTCTTCATCTTTCTTATGTCTTTTCTTCTCATTGTCCTTCAAATAAGGTAAGACACACTTTCAAACAATAAATCTTTTACCCAGGGGCAGAGCCAGGGTGGGAGCCATGGCCCCCCTATGGTCCAGAAATCCCCTGTTAGTAATACAATTTTTCATGTAAATTTTTTTTTATCAAAAACAGTAAACTTTATGATGTGACTATTTGTGAAAATTTAGATACAAAAGGGGAGGTAAAAAGACTTAACTCCCCACTACAGAATACAAAGATAGGAAATAAGAAATTAGCCCAGAAGATAGCTTCCCTATTCACCCCCTGCTTGGCCAGCCCATCTGCAATTGAGTTGGCGGACCTCTTCACCCATCTATAGTGTATCTCAATGTCTCTGCCCAACCAACAGAATTTTTTCTTTTCATTGTTATATCTCCACATGCCACTGTCCTCTTCCTTCAGCCAGCTAATCACCACCTTCGAGTCACTTTCCAAAACCAAGCGTTTGATATTTAGTTCCCTAGCTCTTTGAATTCCTTCCAGAGCTGCAAGGATCTCAGCCCCAAGGGCCCATTATATATTTATTCGCCCCCCCCCCCACCTCCTAATCCACTTTAGGTTTGGCTCCCATCATGAAAATTTCCTGGCTCTGCCCCTGATTTTAACCCAAGGAAACTGCAAAAGGATATAATCTTTTTTGCAACTAACATGGAAGCCAAAACAAGGACATCATTGGATGATATTGCATACTGTGATCATTGGATGATATTGCATACTGTGATCATCTCCATTGGGCAATCTGGTTCACTTTCAGCTTGGACATGAAGTTTTTCCTGCTCCTTCCCGAGGCATAAGTGTGAAAAAATCTGTGAGTTATTGTCTCCTTTCAGCCATTTCACTCTTGATCTTTGTCTCCAGTAAATTTCTTCTCTTCTGATTAGTTCTTCCCATTCCTTTTTCAAATCTGCTCTTCTACTTCTGTTTAGAACATCAAGGGTCCCGTTTTGTTTTTTGCTATCCAGCTCCTCGATCTCTGTAAGAATTCTTTTCTTGTCCTCTTCAACAGTTTTGAATACCTCCCTCCTCCAAGCTTTTAGGTTTCTCTTTAGAGCTCTTAATTTCTGTAGGAGCCTAAAGCCAGCCCAACCCTCTACTTTGCAATCTTCCCACCATTCTGCAACCTTTTTATTGAAATCTTTGTGAGATAACCAGAATTTTTCCAATCTAAAAGGTGCCTTTCTTCTAATGATTCTTTCTGTGTTTAGCAAAATAGGCCAGTGGTCTGAAGTACATTTGGTGCGAAGTTCTTGGCAGAGGTTGGGGAATCTTTCCAGCCACTCCTGAGAAAGCAGAAACCTATCAAGTCTGCAGCTTATGACATTTTCTTGCATATTTGAACAGGTGAAGAGTCCATTAGTAAGGGGGAGGTCACACAGATTATGCCTGGAGATGAATTTTGAGAAGTTCCTCATACTTCTTGTTGGGGCTCTACCATTAGAATGTTCCAAACTGAATCTTATGACGTTGAAGTCTCCAGCTAAGCACCATGGAATATCCTCCTCCGCATGCATGGAATCCAGTTCTTCCCAAAATCTCTCTCTATCAGAGGGAGAGTTGGGGCCATATACTCCAGTAAGAATCCAGCTGAAATCATCTTTTAAGTTTGTGAACAAGACCGAGACTGAGAACTCACCTATGTCTATCTCCAAACCTGAGATTTCATCTTTCCTTCCAAGCTAGGATGATGCCCCCAATGGAACCCACCGCTGGAACAGCAGTCCATTTTCTACCCCTTATTCCCCAAATTGCGTTCATAAGTCTCCTATCAATGATTTCCTTTTTAGATTCCTGAAGGATAATTATATCTGGGTTTTCTCTTTTCAAAGTTTCTTTCACTAAGCTTCTTTTGATCTGCCCACCACCTCCTAACATTTTATATATGCTTCTCATGGTTAACCTGTAATAATAAGATGATTAAATTCCTTATTTTATAGAGGATATCCATTTTCTTGAGCAAATTTGGATCATGCAAGTAGCCAGCAGGTGGTTGTGCTTATGATTGGAAAGGTGTGTAGTAAACAAGGTTTAAAATATTGATTTTGATGGAAATGTCGACCACTTAAAAATAAGAAATATTGAAAATATCACATGGATTTATTTTGAAAATTCTATAACATTGGAAAGATTAATTTATGAAAATTTGTGTATGATGTACTCCTTTTTTCTTTATTAGTAACAAAAAGGAATTCATTAAATTAGCAAAGAAAAAACATTACATCTCTTGGGTACGCTCGGCTATCCCTGATACAGCTTAGCCAAAAAACAAAAACTACAAACTTCACTCTTTGACAGTTACAACTGAGCCCAAAAACACTGCTCTCTATTAAGCCCTTGCTTTGCTAGATGATCAATAAAGCTGTTAACCACCCTTGGAACCTATTGAATTATCACCTGCATATCCCTTGAGAACCTTCTAAATTTTTTAATTTCGTTCCTGAAGCACCATGGAGTCTTTTCCTCTTGTTTCAACCAGATGATGCCTTCAATGATTAGCTTACTTGCCCCCCTATCTCCAAGGCTTTTTGCACCCCAAACACCACTGCACTCAACTCAGCTGCTGTGGAATCTCTTGCCCCGAGAGGTCCTGAATACAGACCCAAGAATACTCCTTTCTCATTCCTTAGTACCCCTCCACATCCAGATGGACCCGGATTACCCAAACTAGTGCAATCAAAATTCAACCTAATAAACCCAGCCATGGTGGATCCCAATGCCTGAAAAGTCTCTTCTTTGAAGATTAAGTGGCTGCAACTATCCCCTACTTTCTTATTACATCATCAAAGGTAAAGTCCGATAATTAATTCAATGACTTCACCCATTGTGCCACCTTTACCATAATACCTTCTATCGATGCTTCTTTATTTCTTTTTTTTTTCTTCAAAGAGTCTTAGGTTTCTTTCCCCCCAAATTGTCCATAACACCACTTAAATAGAAATCAACAAAGCTTTAAAGAAAGAAGAACAACCAAAATATCCAGGGCCATTTAACTAGAAGTGTTAGATTCTTTTCTTTCATTCGTCCTAGCCCCAATCCACCTAACTCCTATGGTCCAAAAATCCCCACTCGTGATACACCATTCCATGTAAATTCCCCCCCCCCTCCCCATTCCAATGGGTTGGCCCCATAGTTGTCAAGGCGATGCCTAGGCGACAAGGCACCCTTGGAGTCTTGCCTCGCCTAATCGCCAAGCAGTTTTCTATAGTGTGTTATAACAGACTTTTATATTCTTAATTTTTTGAGATTATAATTATAAAATAGACATTTTTAAACTAAAATAYTCATTTTGTGTGTTTATATACTAATTTCTTTTTATTATTTTCTTATTTGTTAGGGTTTAATCAACACAAACATGCTAAATGCTGTATTGAACCTTCAAAGACTTCAAAACCTGAACCAATAAGTAAGAAAGAACATAAAATGTTGTCCAACCAACACATTTTATTCTTTTTCTTTACTAATTTTGTGTTTTTATATACTAATTTCTTCTTCTTCTTCCTCTTCCACCTTTTCTTTTCTTCTTTTCCTATAACAGAAATAGGGGTTCAGCCCCTATATTTTTTGAAATTTCTTTTCTTTCTTCTTTTTCTTCTCATGAATATGTTGGAATATGTTGATTTTCTATACTTTAACATGAAGTTTATACTTTTCTTATGAAAATTATGGATATTTATTAAGGAAATATGATTATGGAACCTAGGGAACTACCCTAGGATGCATGTTTTTACTTGATAAAAGATCCATCGCCTAGGCGACTAGGCGCCCCTGTCCCCTAGCCTCGCCTTGGCACCTTGAAAACTATGGTTGGCCCCCCTATGACCATCCATATTTACCCCCCCATTCCACCTTGGGTTTTGGCCCCCCTCATGAAAATTTCCTAGCTCTGCCATGTTTATCATCAGCTTGTGGGCACCTTATRTATCTTACAATGACTCACCCAGACATCTCACATGACAGTTGTACACCAGCGTATCATCAGATATATCTGTGGAACAATATCTTATGGTGTGTTTTTCCCATCCACCTCTTCACTTCAACTCTCTACGTAAGCAGATGCTGACTGGGCTAGTTGTCCAGACACCAAAAGATCTACTACTAGGTGGTGCATACTCCTAGGTGATTCTCTTATCTCATGGAAATGGACGAAGCAACAAAATGTTTCCAAGTCATCCACTGAAGCAGAATATAGGGTTATGCCCTCAGTATGCAGTGAGATTATCTGGCTCCAATCTCTTCTACATGATTTGAATGTTGCTTAGTCCCCTCCTGTTCCTTTATTGGTTGACAATCTAAGTGCAATCAAAATTGCTTCTAATCCTGTCTTCCATGAATGGACGAAGCACATTGAGGTGGATTGTCATTTTATACGGGATCTCCTCACTTCTAGCTGCACTTCATTGCCTCATGTATCATCTAATCTTCAACTCTCTGAAATTTTCACAAAGGCTATGACTAGGGCCCAACATTCCTTTCTCATGGGCAAATTGATGTTGGTGCCCCTTCATCAATTTGAGGGGGAGTGTAGAGATAGTGATAGTGAGGGCTGAACAGTAATTTTACTTTCCTATTGTATTAGTAATTTTCTATTCTTTATTTCTTGTACATAACTTATTGTATTATAAGGATAGAAGTGTCTCTTTACATTCTTTAATATAAATAGTTCTTTCTTGGTGTCGTCACCCTAAGGAGACACACCCTAAATATGTTGTGTCTCTCTTGTACAAACTGCACTGATAACAACTGATCTTGAGCTCCGCAAGGGAAAGAGGAAGTGTACAGCCCATTACATTTCAAACCATCTCTCCTATAGTGCCCTTTCACCCTCCTACCGTGCCTTCCTTTCTTCACTGGATTCTGTGTCTATACGCAGGAATGTTAGTGAGATTCTCTCCAAACCTAAGTGGAGAACAACTATGATAGAAAAGATGGAGGCTTTGCTTAAGAATCAGAAATGGGAGATAGTTGATCTTCCTACAGAAAAAGAAACGGTTGTAGATGGGTGTTCACTGTGAAGTACAAAGCCGATGGAAACATTGAGAGGTACAAGGCAAGGTTGGTTGCAAAAGGGTATATAGGCCTATGGTATAGATTATTTAGAGGCCTTTGCACCAGTGGCTAAGTTGAGTTCAGTTCAGGGTGGGGTTCTCTTGTCTCTAGTAGCTACTTACTCATGGCCACTCTTCTAGCTTGATGGTAAAAATGCTTTCCCTAATGGTGATTTGCATGAGGTATATATGGATATTCTAACCGGCTTCTATGAGAATGTTGATGAGGGAAAAGCCTGCAAGCTAAAAAAATCATTATATGGTACAGTCACCTAGAGCATGGTTCAATAGGTTTGGGGGAGCATTGATTTGGCTTGGATACACACAGACTCAATTAGATCATACTCTCTTTGTGAAGAGGAGAGAATCACTGATGTCAATATTGATTGTATATGTGGACGACATAGTTGTTACAAGAAATGATCAGAGGGAGGTTGATGCACTCAAGAAGTCACTGCAACAAGAATTTGAGATTAAGGACCTAGGAGAACTGAAATATTTTCTAGGGATTGAGGTTGCAAGGCCCAAGCATGGGATATTCATTTCTCAGAGGATGTATTGGACCTACTACAAGAAACTGTGAAGTTAAGAGTTAAACCAGTTGATACTCCTATTGATCTGAACCATAGGATTATTGCTTTGGATGGTGAGTTGGTTAAGGATGTGGGAAGATATCAGAGGATGGTGGGTCAGCTACTAACCCAGCTATGCACCCATCCCTATAAACAGATTCAACACTTCCATAACTAAAACAAATAGCAACTACCCTTTCTTCATCCCCATAAACAGATTCAACTACACTTTTACGAATTTAAAAAATTATAATATTGTGTCACCATGTTTTGTTTGATATAGAAGTTCTGATTCATAATTTCATATAACTATTCTTCTTATGCTTTTATTGTTTATCATTTCATAAGAATTAAAAATATTAAGACAACAATCATATTTTATTAAGTCATGTATAATTAAAAATATTTCATATAGAAAAATGAGGAAGCCATTAAATATGAAAACTTGAAAATACGATGGGTTTGAAGAGAACAAAAGTATATTAGAATGAACTATTTGGATGATATAGTGTTATTGATAAAAAAAAATGATATGTACGTATGTAAATTGAAAACYTTGTATTTATGCAATTAACAAAGGAAACATTTTTTGTCATGCGCTAGGGAATATGTTTGGATACTTATAATGTTTCATGTTGGTACCCGTGGAAATGGAAATATTGTGAATACATAAACATTTCAAAACATGGTAGTTGGTACAAAATGCCATCCCTTGTCATGTTGGCTATTATCATTGTTTTGTCAAGAGATTTTGACTATTCCAATCAGTCACTAATGGCCTTCTAAAATTGCTCCACTTAATGGTGTAGTTCTTTGAAGCCCACATAGTCAAATTAACATCAAATTGCAATTGTTAACTGATTCCTAGAACATTCAAAATTTTCTCGTAATCTTTTATTTTCCTTTTTTTTATTTTTTTTTACATTAACATAGCAAAATATGGTGCTAGAAAGGCAAAGGGAGTAAGGGAAAATAAAAATGAAAATGGAATACCAAAGCACATGCATGCATACATGCACACATACAACAAAAGGAACCAATTCCAACAATTAGATAAAGAGMAAGGAGAGTAGGAGAAAATAGGAAATGAAAAATTCATGAAAATGAGAAAGGCTATAGAAGGATCTTAAATCTTTAATATGCTTCAAAAAATTTGGACCAAACAAATCTTCTATCAACACATAGATAATGAAAGATAAAAAAGGCCATTACCCAATATTGGCCCCAACCATCTGGCATCTTGGGAGGGGTGGACTCAATACATATAGAACCTCTAGCTTTTCTTTTCTTTCTTTTTTTTTCTTGCATAAAGTAACTGCTCTCAGACATGAACTCATGTTCTCACGCTTGGCAGCCCAAGAGTTTACCAATATACTAAGCCAGATAATGAAAGATATTTAAAAATTATTTAAAAGATGGTTAGATATCTGACCTGTGTGGATATTGTGCGTATGGTATGATTCCCACTTTCTTGATCCTTCAGACAATTTGGAGAGTTCCAGACAACAACACCTCCCCACATCTACAATATGCCAATGCTATAATTTAGTTATATGAAGATGTCAAGATGCAAATATTAGTCAATATACCATTATTGGTGCAAATATTAATCAATATACCATTACTGATAGCTGATCAGAAAAATATTCATAAAAAAAAAGCTGATAAGAAAAATGCCATATATACCTATAATAAAAGAGTTTCATGCTCTCTCTTTTCGTCCATGATGTAACTTTTGTTTTCCAATTTTTCCCTTATAAATTTCTAAAATTTGTTCTCTATCAAGTATCTATACATCTATCTATATAATGTGCTACTAAATTTCTAATTATTTACAATAATGCCATCATATAAGACAAATGTAATCATGATACTTTCTCCCCCTGTCATATTTATTACTGAATATCTAAGTATTTATGGTCATGCCACCAAATAAATCAAAAACAATAAAAGTAATCTCTCTCTCTCTCTCTTGAGGCCAATATTCAAGATTGTCAATTGGTCAGGTCTAGTTCGGGGTAGCCTGTACCAACCCCATCCTAATAAACATTTATTTATTCATTTTTTATTTTACTAAAATAAATTATTGTCTATGAAATTTTATTTATATAATTTATTTAGAAATAATTTACTGGCAAGTTATTATTAGCCCAATATTTAGGGTTGTCARTGGGTCGTGTCTGGTTTAGGATAGCCTGTACTTGTCCTATCCAATAAATTTTTATTTATTCATTTATTTATCTGATTAAATTAAATAAATTATTATCTATAAAATTTTATCTATTTAATTTACTAAATTATTTATTTATTTAGAAATAATTACTAACAAATTATTATTAGTAGAAAAAAATAACCCAAAACCATCTTGATTAATACTCCAGAGCCCAATATTTAGATCTATCAATAGGTCGGGTCTAGTTTAGGATAACTTGTACCAATCCTATACCAGTAATATATAAACTTTATTTATTTATCTTGTTAAATTAAATGAATTATTTGTTTATTTATTTATCTGTCCCACTCTCTCTCCCCCCTGTGCCCAATATTTAGGGCTATTAAAGGGTCGAGTTTGGTTTAGGATAGCCTCTACTAGTCTCGTGCCAATAAAGTTTTATTTATTTATTCATTTATTTTATTAAATCAAATGAATTGTTATCTATAAACTCTTATTTATTTGATTTACTAAATTACTTAATTATTTAGAAGAAATTTACTAACAAAAATTAGACTCAAAACCATCCCAATTAATACTCTCTTAATACCTTTCTCTCTCCTTGAGCTCAATATTTAGGGCTATCAACAAGCCAACAAATTATTATTTTGTCAATACCCTTCATGACGGTGCCCTTTATTGATTATTTCATGATTTCTCAAAATTTTATTGTTATTGATTTTTATATTTATATAATAAAAATAAAAATCAAGGGAACATTGTCTAAGAATCTATACATGGCAAGCTTGGCATTAATATTGACAACTTTTGATCTAAATGGTTGTAAGAGAACAATGTTTTGGTAATTTTCTAGAGAAAAGAGGGTGACAATGGATAATCGTTACTATATTGCTAATTTCCCATAGAAACAACGTTTTTATTTCTTTGTATAATAATTACTATATTGCCTCTAAGCATGAGACCTTTTTTTGTCATTTCCAGCACTATTTAAACTTTTTTTTTGTTAAAAGCTAAGCCTCAACCTCCAACACATACTAGGTTCAAATCAGTCAATGTACCAATACTTTATCTCTCATTGTGTATATTGCTATTCTTATTTAATCTCAAGTGACACCATCTCTGCCTTTGTAGTTGCCAAGAGAAAATTCTACTAGAAAGTAAAAAGTAAAAGACAATAATGCTTGCCCAACTCATTATTAAATTTTATTTTTACTTTATTATAACATTATTTTTTTAATATAGCGAAAGTAATTATCCACTCTCTAGATTTTGTTGTTTTTTGCATATTATTGATAATTATTGGTTAGAGCAATTGTCATGTAATCAATTATTCTTTGAACTTGTAATAATCTTCGTACAATAGGATTATGGATAAAAATTAATTTTTCATAATGTGACTTTTCCTCTTGGTTTTATTTTAAAAAATTATTTTTCATATTAATAACTTTTACTATTCTATATATTCTCACATTATATACATGTGTGTAGCACGTGCCCTTCTACTAGTTAATAATCAAAGTCTATGTATTTAGAGGGTTCTTTTGAGATTGGTAAGGGTAGGAGCTCAGGTTAGCATAGATTCATTAGTTGGTGCGGTGACTATGATCATCACGATCAAGATGTGTTTTCATCATCTTTGTAATTTGGTAGGAGGCAAGATCAGGCATGGCTTAAAATGTCCTTAATTTCCCTAATATGTTTCCATTTCTATGGGTAATGACACGAAATTTTACCAGAATCAAAATATTCCCCAATGAACACTACCAGCGYTATGTGGAGTACAAGAGATAGTTTCCACGATATATTTCATTTCCACTTCCATGGGTAGTGACATGAAATTTTACTAGAATTGGCATATTCTCCAATGAACACTACTAGCACTATGTTGAGTACAAGAGTTAGTATTATAACATGGTCACTATAGTAGATATGTGGTGTAACAATGTTATTGCTTGCCTACCTTACATGATTTCCATTTCCATGACATATTTCCACACTACTAGCACTATATGGAGTACAAGAGATAGTTTCCACAACATATTTCCATTTCCACTTCCATGGGTAGTGACATGAAATTTTACTGGAATTGACATATTCTCCAGTGAACACTACTAGCACTATGTCGAGTACAAGAGATAGTATTATAACATAAGTTGGTCAGTATTGTAGATATGTGGTGTAATAATGTTATTGCCTGTCTAACTTACATGATTACCACCTTGAGCTAGCTCAATAATATTCATTTCAAACATGAAGTTAAATATTAGTTTTTGCTTGTGTAAGCTTTGTTTAATTTTTTTTTTTTTTATGAATAGCTTTGTTTAATGATTTGGAACAAGATAATAAGTTAAGAAAGGTTTGCTTATGTTTCTTTTATCATTTCATAAAATATCATTCTATATTTTGCATTTTTACAATGTTTCCACCATGCCTATAATTTTTTTTATGAATCACCACGTCTATAATTTTTACAATATTTCCATACGATATTTCTGACATTCCCAACATGTTTCTTATAATTGGACGACCAACATTTCCACAGACATCGATATTTTAAACCTTGGATCGGGATGGTGACATACCAACTTAAGAACTTTGCGAGGCAGGCAGCTTTGCATCAATTGGGGCTTATATGCTGATAGTAACAAAAGTAGAGAGAAAGATTTTAAGTTGCAGGAAAAAGAGGATGTTGCTGGTTGATGATGGAAAGAGTTGGAGATTGGCTTGAGAGTCATAGTTTTCTTCTCATTCTTCAAATTCCGATAACTCTTGGGTGCTCTTGTCAAATCCTTCTATAATATATTGGTTGTGAAACAAGAAGAAAGTAACCCTGGGAAATGGATATGGAGGACAGGTTCCCCAACCAAAGATGGGTGTCGGCTAACTGGTATAGAAATGGTTTCAAAGAGGTGAGAAGATTGGGTGCAGGTCAGTTACTTTTTAGTTTCTGCAGTGAAAAAGAAGTGGACAGGATTCTAGAGCGGGAGAGATTTGGAGGAAGTAATTTTCCTAACTTGCGGCTGGATAAATGGTCTCCATTGTTAACAAAGCTTTCCGAAGGAGTAGATTTGGTTTGGATTGATGTGTATGGTATTCCGCTGCATGCATGGAGTTCTGAATCCTTCATAGTGATTGGAGATGCTTTAGGCAAATTCAGAGGAGTTGCTTTCAGAAACCAAGTGTGGGACCAATTGCAATTCGCCAGAATACTGATAGAGACAAAGGATGCGAGGAAGGTTATGGTGCTTTTGGATCTTTTCTATGCAGGGGATTATGGGGGGGGGGGGAGCTCGACAGAATAAGGGGAGAAGATGATAAAAGGTTGGAGAAGATTGAAGGAGATGAACAGTCAGGGTTGGGAGAGGAGAGAAAGGGAAAGAAAGGAACCAAAAAGTCGACCCGAGGACTAGAGAGGGACACAAATGTCCAATCCGGAATAGTCAGGGGTAAAAAAGGAAAAGCCTTTCATAAAATTTTTGAAACTCAAAAATTTGAGAGGGGAAAACTGAATCGTTCGGAAATTGCAAAGAAAACTGTAGAGGCAGAAGTATTTGAAGATGAGGAGGATGTGCAGCCTAGAGCTCAGAGAAAACCGGTTCAAGTCATACACCATATTAGGAAGAAAAAGACAGCATATGGCTTTGTATGCTGCACAACTGGGTATGGTAATAGCGATGGAGAGGGGGACGAGCAGTTAAAGAGTTCAGGTGGGGGAAGAATTTCCATCAGATAAGAGAAGGAAGTCACAGTGGATTGAAGATCGGAAGCAAGGGGAGAGAGGAGAAGATAAAGAGGGAGAGAGGGAAGAAGGTCATAAGCAATGGTGGAGAATCTGCGGCACTTCTTCCATCAAAGGAGTCCAGCGGCAGTGGAAAATTCCCCAGGAATTGTAAGGACTATAGTGAGGAGATTCGAACCCAAGTTCTGGAGGATTCTTGTGGGAGATTGGTCGAAGCGAACCAGGTTTACGGTTCTTAGGTAGGTAAATTTGACTCTGAATCTTGTGGGGAGGAGGAAGTTGAGAACTGCCAGAAGGGTGGGAAGGGAGAAGTAAAGAAGAATGAAGAACAAGGGGAAAGGTTTATAGAGAAGATGGTGAAGGAAAGTGAGGAAAGAAGGGAGGTGTGTAGCGTGGTGGGGTCTGAGGGAAGAGAAAGGCCTCGACCTGTAAAAGATTTGGGAAAGAAGAATTCCAAAGAGTTGAAGGGGGAGGAAGAAGAATTAGAAATCAACAACAAAGAAATTGGGGGTGATGAAAGAGGAGGAAGAAGGTGGGGAGGAGGTTGGGGAGATTGGAAGAAAACAGGTTTACCAAAGAAGAAATTACAAAATGAAGCCTTTAGAGGGACAAGGGAGAAGGGGAAGAAGGGAAGGATCAGGAGTTGGTGCCAATAGACAAAACACATCAGGTTTGTCAGGGTGGGGATCTAGAGAAAGTTATTGATGTGGAGGTTAAAGTTGGTAAAATTCTGGGTTTGTTCTTAGGGGGTGAAGAATTTGCTAGGGAAGCTTTTAAGGAAGTGGACGAAGAAGGAAAGAGGAGAAGAAGAACTTGATTCAGGAAGAAACGATCAGGGATTCTAGAGTCTGAAAGAAAAAAAAAAGAAAAAGAAAAAGTCTAGTATCAAATAAGAGGAAGATTAGTGAAAAACAAAATAAAAAAAGGAAAGTCAGTCATGAGAATCTATTGCTGGATCATAAGAGGCTTGAGAGAAAGAAGGGAGGTAGGAATCTCGTCGGGAGCTTTAGAATTGAAATGTTGTTGTTGCAAGAGTCGAAGATTGAAGAGGTAGTCTGGAAAGTTATCAACGATATTTGGGGCCCTAGAAATAGGGTCTGGGTTTGTAAAGGTTCAGAGGGCCTTTCTGGAAGTCTGGTTTCAATTTGGAATTTAGATCCTGCTAAAGTTAGTGGATTTTTCAGCAGGATAATTTTCTGATTCTGTGTGGTAGAACATATTCCCTCAAAAATCAAGGTGTTGATTTCAAATGTGTATGGGCCAATTCAGGACAGGGAGAGGACAGAAAACAGCAAACTGAAAGACTACTTAGTAATTGACAGCTTTGCTGATACACTAAGTAGTATGATCTCTTGCACAACTTCACAAGGGAACTGAAAGACTTAGCAGCATCTTTCTCATAGGTCCAAAGGACAGCAAACAGCTTTGCTGGTACACTAAGTAGGCAAGGTGTGCAAAGAGATCATACTACAATGGGGGAATGTCTTTTCTAAGGGTTAAGTGTTGTAAGAAAAAAAAGAATAAAATAAAATAATAATAAAACATGAGAAATTGGGGCTAGGCAGCAAGGACTTACCTTAAATTTCAAGGATCATAAGAGCATATGACCACATAAACCATTGTTTTAAAAGCACAAGGCACAAAAAAAGCGCAAGGGCCAATTTGCGCCCGAGGCAAGAGGCGCAAGGCGAGGCACATGCCTTTTTGAAGCAAGGCGTAAAAATACAAAAAAAAATGCTAAAAATTAAAAAAAAAAGTCAAAAAATTCAAAAAATGCAAAAAAAAATATTAAACATAATAGTAATAAGAAATATAAACTTAAATTTTAAAATTAATGGTTTAAAAATCATATTATCTAAAATTAAAATACATAAACATAACATGTAAAGCATATTCAAATGAAAATTTAAAAATAAAATCAAACAAAACATTTTCAAGCATATAAAGCCCACAATCTCTTTTTTTCCTCAATTGCATTACTTCAAGTAGCTAATGTGATGTAAAACATATYACATTCCTAATTCTACGAGTCGCCTTTGTGCCACACCCCTCAAGGCAACCCCCTATTTGCTAATGTTGTTCATCCATTCATCTTAATAAAAGATCTTCTTACAAGGCAATTAAAATTATATCGGGGACGGAGCCCCCGGCCCAGCTGATAGGTTCAAAAAAGTAAAAAAAAATGTACAGTTTGAAAGTGCTGCGCCTAGGACCTAGGCGAGGCGCCTACCCTAAAATGCGCCTCGCCTATGCACCTAGGCACGCCTTTTAAATCACTGACGTAAACTACCATTATTTTTCTCCCATGACTAAATAAAGATATCAGTTACCAATAAAAAATGATAATAAAAGTCTATAATGGTAATGAATAACTCACTGGAGATATAAATCCATTTGTTGTCGAAATTTCTCCATTTGGAAGTTGTAGCAGAAGAGGGCACTCCTTTGCAGATGGTATGTATCTAGAGATATGAAGAAAGACAAGTCGATGTTATATGGTGGTAATTACCATGGGTTGTTTTATTGTATGTATTTGCTGCTATAAGTTACTATGGATCAGAAATTTCTATCAGGAGTTCAAATGTTCAAGTAACTAACATTTCTAAACCAATATATGAACAGCACACAATAATTAAGTAGACAGAGTTTGTTTCTTTTAACATCTCAATTCTAAAGCTCGAGTATAGAGGGATATGGAAATGTCATTCTTAAGATCATTAGAACTATTTGAATTGATAGGACAAGGAGTTCGACTAAACATGTATTAACATGGTCACAAGGGTTTGAATAAAATAAAGTTTTCAATTCAATTCACAGGCATATGTGATATGACCATATTGTAACAATAACTCCAAAATTGAGAATAGAATAAAATAAAGATAGACCCAGGCGTAGAACAATGAGTGAAAGAATATACATCACAAATTGCAAGATTTTTGACCGCCCACCAGCTGCAATAGAGGTATCCAAGTGCCATTCATTTGAATTCACCTGTTAGATTCCCGATTGTTAGTTTGTGTTCATTCAAAATACTCCAAGATAAAAAAAAAAAAAAATGATAAGGTCAAATTAACAGCAAAATGGTAATGGCATGTATTTTCTATTAAAGAAACCACCACTGTGGACGCTGAAACTTTCAGTATCCATGATGAATTTAGGTAAGACAAGCCCCTTTGTGTTTTATATTGCATTATAGACTGGAGACTTAATGAGGAGCTTTATGAAATGATACCAAACTACAAAAGACCAACTTAGAAGACAAACAAAAGATGGTCATAGACCAAACACTCACTACATGCTAAAATATAGCAACCAACATTGTTTTGAAGGTGTGAACATTTTCCCTTTTTCAGCTTTATGCTAGTTAGTCACCTTTGTCCCATAAAAAATTATGCATCCAGTTGAAATTTACATAGGGCAAGCATGAGAAGAGTGGAAAAAGAAAAAACTGAAGGGTTTTAAGGAGGCCCACACCTCATTCAAAAGTTTTATTAGTAATGTACACATGCACCATTTTATGCTCAGGGTTCAGCCTACAAAGAAACTCAAAAATACAGTTCTCTGGAATAGAACTAGAAAGTAATCTGACTTATCAGCAGCACACACTGTTGTTCACACCATCAACATTCCTAAAACTGGAGAATTTCATGGCTGACAGTAAAATAGAAAAAGTAAAAACACTTCCTAGAACTCTAATACTGCTCCAATCAAAGCAAGAACATTTCCAGGCTCCAGACTCTTTGACTAATTACCACAGACCAAATGACATGCAGCTAAGTCATTCGGTCCTTGCCTCCTTGGTGCAGCACAGTCCAGAAACTCAGATATGGATATTTTTTATTCTCTAGAAAAATTTTAAAAAATGCTATAACCTTCACAATAAATCATGAAAAATGATTTTAACATCTATAGTACTCCTCTATCAAGTGGTTGTGGTATTTTCCATCATCAAGAGAACCATCCATACATTGTACGACATGGTGATATCAGCTTTATTCCTCAATCTGTCAATCAGTATTGGAGGAAAAAAAGGAAAAAGTTATTTGAACCATATCAAATTCAACTTTGATAGATTTAGAGTATCGGAAACCCAGAAACTTCAGGAATTGGAGGTGTATTCCATGATGAAGCAGGACACAATAATTTTTTTCTCAGGARAAGCAAAGAGGTCCCTATTTAAGTCATCAGAGTTTGATCATTTATGTTCTTTTGTTGTAGGATGTTATACGAGTCTTGTTTAGTTTAGTGGGAGACTGGGAGTTGGTTGTTTCTATTGGTGTCTGTTTCTTTGGTTTTGTGGTTGGTTTGGTTTTGGTTTTTTGGGGATTGGGGCTGGTTCTGGAAATGAAGTTTGTTTCTTTCTCCTTACAGGTGACTGCTGGTCACCTTCCTTTGTATTCTCYTTTTCTATTTTAATAAAATTTTCCTATATTTTTTATTATAAAAAAATCTCAGGACCATTAGACTAATGCAATTCCATTATAGCAGAACTTCTAGCCTTAATGCAATATCTCGGATTGGACTATTCTTTCAATTACAGCAGCATAATTACGGAGGGGGACTCTAAGTGGTGGTAAAATGATTCTTAAATGACAGCCCAGTCTATGGATGTATAGACATCCCTTAAGGGAAGCAAGGTGGATCACTACACAGATGAGTATAAGGTTTACTTGAACCCAATGATTGACTAATAATCCGGTTGACACCTTGGCTTTGCTGAACAAGGTATATAGGAATCAATTGTATGGGGGAATTGTCCAATCAAAAAGGTATTCTTAGTGGCATACAAAAATGTAGGAAAGCTTGGGGTTAGGTGGCAGGGGCCAGCCTAATTTTCAATCAAGGGGTGCCTGGCATGGACTGTATTCACATTACATTTTTCCAATAATGAATAAAATTTCTGATTGATTACCAGTCAACCAAAAAGGAAAGAACTAACTATAGCGATGACTTGTAGGCTCTGCTACCAAGTTGAAAAGTCACCTACAATTTGTAGAAAGAAGATAACAGACATAAGATGAAAAAAGAAAGAAAATATTGAAAAGTTGTAATGAGACCAATGCTCAGTCAAATGTTTTATTAGAAAGCTTAAGCTTAATTATAAATGAAACTATAAATCTTCCCTTACTAAGAGAATACGCTAGCAACTTTACTACATTAGTGTAAAACACCGCCGTTCGAGGTGCTCTTAGTGCAGAATATTACTGGTAGGAAAAACTGGAAGGAAGAATAGGGGCAGCAGGAGAACGAGAATGGAGGAAAGGAAATTTCAGAAGACTGAGGTTCGAAGAAGATCTCTAAGGATTGAAGCAAGGCATTTTCTGTTTGAAAGTTTTAGGATGAAGGGGAAGAAAGCATTAGAGATCAGGGAAGTCAACATGGTGATGGTGTTTCTGATAGGAGAAGAAGCTATGGGGTGGTTTCAGACTTTCATGGAGGATGYTATTCAGGTGCATAGGAAGCTTGTATGCAAAGAATCATTTGATTTTGCTGGTAGGAGGTATGTAGTARAAAGAAGGGAGAATGTTAAAAGGAAGATATGTTGTGCTTATGGAGTTTTTTGTGGAAGGAGAAAAGCAGATGGTATGCTTCCTCGGAGGAAAGAATGGGACTGGCTGGAAAGAGGTCACAAAACTCTTGAAGGACTACACTGCTCAGGAGGAAACTAGAGAAGATAGAAGAGTGGAACTTGTAGAAGAAACACAGGGGGTTACTGGAGACTCTAAAGTGGGAAAGCAGAAGGAAAAGCCCAAAAAAGAAACAGAAATGCAGATTATGGCTAAAGCAGCAAAGGATTGCAGAATGGTTTGCAATATGCTCAAGAATGATTGGAAGGAGAAATTTATTGTAAGTTTGACAGTACCACTGCATGATTGGAAGAAGATTGCTGAATAATTGTTGAAAAAGTTGAAGTTAAACTGCACTATAATTTTAACCCCCTTTGAAAAATGTAAAGCCCTTCTAGAGTTAGTAGGAGAGAAATTGGAACTCAATGCCATGTGTTATCAGTTGGAGCCAGCCTCTGTGACTGTTTCAAAATGGCCCCCTCACTCTAACTACAAGGATTTGCATGAGAAAGACAAAGTAATTGTTCGAATCCTGGGATTGCCATTCCATCTTTGGAGTCCAGATGTTTTTGCCTCTATAGCCACTCTGTGCAAAGCAAGGTTGGATGGTATTTTTGTTAAAGACCTCCATTCTGCGGCAATATGTCTAGTACTGTATTCAGCCTCGTTACTAACAGCCGTTGAARCTGAGCTATGGAGGGAGGGAAGAAGAAGATGAGAAGATAGAAGAAGAAGAGTGGTTTCGTTGAAGAGGTCAAATGGATGAAGAAAAGGAGAAAAGAAGTTACACTGAAATAGAAAAACAATCTCTGGAGAGAGAAAAAGGTGAAATAACAGGGACAGAAATATATAAGCCAAGGATAGAGAGGGGCGAGTACGCTGAAGCAATGACCAGTGGACTTCGTTGTGGGAAGCAACCCCAAGTTCAAAATTCAAAAGCAGGGGTGACTCAGCCGGCTGGGACATCAGACCTGAACCGGACTCAGTTAGATGGGTCAAATTCTAAAAGCCCATCACGTGGCATTTTAAGTGACCATGTGAGAGGTAATAAGGAAATCGGGCCTGGGCTTTTAATGCTTGGGCCTAGCTGCTCGTTTGTCCCTTGAGCCCAACCATTGGGCTTAAAAAGACCGAAACACATGACATTCTCAAAGGGCACGTGATCACTAAGGCAGCCCAACAATGGAAGATAATTTCGGTCCATCATCTTCTGCCTCGAACAAATCAGAAACAGTGGAACGCCGAAGAAAAAACCAGGGGCAACAATCTTTGATGATGTGGGTACAGACCAAAGGGAAAGCTTCTGCTTCCCCAGAAAAGAGGAACCCAAAGTTTAATAGGTGCAGCGACAAAGGTAAGAAGAAATTGCAAGATTCAGACTCAGAGTTTGAAGACAGTAGTGGCTCAGAATCAAGTGAATACTCGAGTTTGGGCAGTATAGATCAAACAGTGAAGATTGATATGAATGAAGCAGAGAGCTTCAACACTAAAGAACTGTTTTTAGAAGACTTTTTGGAGAAATCGATCGGTGGAAAAGAAATAAAAGATTATGGGCATGCAGTATTTACAGTCGATGCTGAGCAGATTACTTCCTCCCTAAACTTAGGGAATTTACCCCCAGTCTCCCAGCAAGGACAGGAAGCTCAGGAAATGAGACAAGAGGAGACCTTGAAGGTTAGCATGGAGGCAATAGAGAAGGGAATACCAGAGAAGGTTAATGGCGCAAACAGAGATGTTAACTCTCCCATTCCTGATCTACAGAAACTAAGTTTAGGGGATAATCCTGATTCTTTGATCTCCAAACCTGGACCCCCAAACTCCTGTACTTTCGTTCCTCCACCAGTGTCTCCAGGTAAGTGTGTCCATTCAGTTTTGGTTACTGATGTGTGTGCTCTACCCAAAACAGGTACACCATCTACCCAACCTGATATCCCGAGGAGGGTGAATGGAAGTGGGATAGAGAGGTTGGAAGGGAGGGAGATAGAAGTTAGGAGGGGGACAGAGGAGGAAGTAGAAAGGATTTGGGGTTTGATTAGCGAATTCTTGGAGGACCTTAAAAAAAAGGAAGAAATAGGTCAATAGGGACTCCAAAATAAGGCTGACCCAGTTGTAAAGGAAAACACACAAAAACAAGGGAATCAGAGGGTGAAGATGTATGCTAGAAAGAATGAAGAAAAAAAGGGAAAAAAAAAGAAGAAAAAGACAGAGGTAGAAAGACTAATATCTGATGTAGAGGGTGATATTGAACTCAGTGGGAGAGGAGATAGAAGGAAAAAAATTAAGTAGGGAGGAAAGAATAAAAAGTGGGTCAATCTAAAAAGTGAAAGAATGAAAATAATTAGTTGGAATGTAAGAGGTGTAGGGAGTGCACGGAAAAGGAGTGTGACAAAGGACTTAATAAAAAGAGAGGATCCTGGTGTGGTG